TACGATTAGATCAGCATTTTTGACTGCCCTGCCAAAGTAATGAAATTAAGGATGTTTTTAGGAAGGTCTATCCAATCAGAAATGATAAATATGCTGTTATCTATCGATACAGAAAATGCACGCAAAACTTGTTTGTGTCAGATTTCAAAGTTGTGACGCTGTCCGATTTCAATGTCATTTTCCTGTGTTTTTAAAACAGTGACGGTTGTGGCAAAATGAGTTAAATTATACAAATCGGTCAAGCTTGAAAAATGATTTATTGACTTACTGTAATTAAGTTGTTCAACTAAATGAAAGATCCCCTCATGCTTTGTAAAAAGTTGGAGGTATTTGATGTTTTAGATACATACATATGCCGATTACGTGTAACTCTTACAGGCGCATTTATAAAGGTTACTCAGTTGGAGTTTTAAATGAGGTGTCAATGATCCAGTGTTATTTCAGCTGGAAATGAGAACCTTAAAATTTCACCTTTTCACGCTAACTGTAAGTTTCAAAGGTAAAATATACCATTTTACCTGGTCCCAGGTAAAAAAAGTGTGGGTGTGATATGTGCATGCACGTTTATAAACTGCAATTCACTCAAGTATGATTGAAGATATTGGTCTCCAACATTGCAGCATTTTAGAAACCTTTAATGGTGTAAAAGCTAGTTCACGGCAAAATAACCAATGTTTAATTAAAATCATGTCTGATGAGTTATCATCCTTGTTGAATTATTTGCACGTACGGCTGAAATCTACTGCATGCAGAGAATCTCCGCAGCTTCAACGTATTCACCGTCCGTAAGTGTATAGAAGACGTTCTGTCAATTCTTCAATACCATTATACATGCAGTCCAGTTGTCAAAATGCCAATCCTGACAGTTTTTCTTTCTTCGTTTCTATTTTGCTTTCTTTCTTTCCTTTTTTCACTTCACTTTATTATTTCATTTACAGTAGTGCATTCCCTATGACAATTAAAATTAACTTGGTTGCTACGTCTGAGACACTGAGCATTTTTCAAGATGGCCGCCAATTAGTGAGCGAAAATATGAGAAAAAATAACCGGCAAATGAATTTTGCAGGATATAGCTCAATTTAAACAAACATTATAGGATCTGATTATTCCTACGTGGTAGAAAATCCCAACTAATAAAATTTTCTGAGACCATGCTACCAACAGAACCAGCTCTGCAATTGTTACAGAATAATAGAATAATACATTGATTCATTCCGTGACATGGAGATACTAGGAACGTCAAGGATATTATATTTGTGATTCAAATTTGCACATACCCGTCACAATCATGCTATATACAGCAATATGTGTCACGAGTAGATGAATTTCTAAATACACTCACGTTAATGACAAATCCATTCGAATAATTAAGGAACTGCATCTTAATAGAAATTCGGAAAGGCCAATCTTTCAGAAATGTGTTTTGAAATCAATTTATTTGAAATCAATAAACAACAACATGACAGTTAGATCAAGTAAAACTCCAAATGTCTGGTTTCTGAAATGTTTATCCGATCAACTTCAAAAAAATCTTTGAAATGCCCCTTTTTGTGCCTTCTTGCCATTGCTTATACGTGTAGTTACATACATGTGTAGTGTCGCCTCAAATGCAAAACTGCATTTTCATCACGTTGGCGTTTAACGGTTTCACAACATACAGGATTGTTAGACAAGCTTCTTCACATGCAACTGCTATGTCCCAATGTGCAGATCATCGAGAAAAAAAAAAAAAAAAAGAACCGCGTATATATTCGAAAATTAGTCCCCGCTCAGATGAGCTGTCAATTGGAAAGTAAATTGTATTCTGAATGACTTCGGGAAAAGGTCAACCAAAAAGCAGCCTTGATACATTTAAACCAGGTATAGTGCAGATTAAGTTGGTATCGTGTTGATGGGTCTCCTGTCTCTAGGGTGGTTTACTGGCATGGGTTCCACTAGCTTATATAATGGAAAACGCTATCAAGATGTACGCCACTGTCACGTTTTAAGGACATCGACATTGTAACATGTCATGTCTCCAGTTCGGGACACGATGTCATAACTATATGATGTATTCAGCGCTAAAAGACAGAGATTTGAATAAAAAATTAATGAATGGATAAAAATAAGAAATAGCGAGAAAAAATCAGAAAAGGAAATGGGAATAAAATCGCAATAAGGTACTTGGAAGGAGAAGACAAATGAGTAAAAAAAAAAAAAAAAGATTGATAACTTAAGTATCAGTTAACAGATATAGGCAGTGTACCGTAAAGTTATATCGCAGAGCGGGGTCTTTCGGGTGCAAAGGTACTGTTTTTGATATTTAAATATATGGGACGAAGAAAGACGCTTATAAATACATCACCTCAGAACTTTTAACGACTTTGATGTAAACATATGTTCACTCATGTAATTCATGTTTCTGATGGCATTTCATATTTTGCACTTTGTGTGTATTCCTTTCAATATTGTCCCAAGTTCCGAGCCAAACGCTGTGCCTGCCTGGATGCCCGTTGGTTAGAAGAGGCATAAATGTCATGCGTATATCCTGAGCGTGATAAATTTCTTTTGACCGAGGAAATGCGTCAGGTTTAATCCATTGTTAATTGTATGATAGACACATAATATAATCATAGACAGTGTTATTTGTTGCAAAAAGTAACGAATTGCGACTTACGTGAAATTCTGAAATATTAGCCCTTATAAAACACGAGGCTAGGGAAACTATTATTGCCCCACACCCACGAAAATGTCACAAAAGATAAGACTGAGATATTTGAAGTTTATGAACGGTGATGCATGGTTTGACGTTGAATTCTGGTAAAATGTCATTGCCTCAACTTGAATGATGATGACAGTTGGTTAAGTTGATTCCCCAAACTGTATAAAAGCCTGATGTAATAGGGGCTTTAGATACGTACTTAGTCCTATTTTTTTCCGTTTTTGTAAGTTACCTTGGAATATCCCAAATGACCGATTATTGCATCTCATGCAAGCTCACTTATCAAATATTGTGCAATATGCGGTTTTGATTGAAATATCATTCCCTGAGGCTGTAACTTGATTTGGGCAAGTATTAAGAGTCAAAAGAAAAATGAAATAACATAAGACAACATAAAAACGTCATAGTGAATTACACGTGTCTTGCATGCGATTGCGATTAAGGAATTAATACGCGTGTACCGTCTGGTTTGCAAACTAAGAGGTATAGTCTGCAATCTATTATGTGCTTTGGCCATCAATGTATGAAGTTGTCTTGTCGTCGAGAGTTCAGTCTTGTCAATTTCCCCAGATTTCTCCTCGGCTTCAAACCCAAACCTCCCATTTCCAGTTGATTAGACACTTTTCTTCTAGAAATAAAAGAATGATCGAATCAAATTCCATTTTTGGTCACGGCGATGCACTTTTAAAGGTTCAGGGGAATGGGGTGACCCTAAAATAGTCCTGGGGGTATACTCGTTGTCCAAATCCCTGATTTTGTCGCTTGCGACCGACCTTCTAGATCCAAAAATTGCGTATGCATCTATATACATGTATGTATGTATACGTGTATGCATGGAGGAGGCGCGTTTGACTACTTAGTTCTTCCCCTCTCTGAACTATCTTATAGAACCCCTTATACCAATTTCGACGAAGTGGCCTATATTTAGGTGTCCATACAAGTTAAACCAAAAATGCGAGTATATATATATATATATATATTGTTTCAACAGCAACGAGATGAGTTGATATTTTTAAAGGTGTTTTTAGTGGTTGGTCCTTTAAAAGAGGGTGCCAAGCGAGTACTTCCCTCAAGCCCGCCCCCTTACCGTCTTTGGTTCACCCCCTTTCCCCCTGCTTCCCCTCAAATAACCGTATACATGTAGCTAGTGAAACTGGACAATACCCGAACACAATTTTTTTTTAATTCTACCATTGCATTTAGTTTAACCTGGTCGTGGATTGACGCAAAGCCTTCGAAATTGAGGTCTCGACCTCAACGCATATTCAAAGCATATTTAAAGAATGGGTCAATTTTCAACTTTCTGTTGTAATTACACTTGCACTTTCTTGCCTTCAACAAAGGACAAGTATAGGTGACGTTTAATAACAGACCTCCATCAAAATCCTAATTCGCGATAAATTGGTCATCGTGAACCCAGTGCCTCCTACAGCTTTTAGTACCGGTATATATTATATAGTAGGAGCTTACTATATAATTGAAAGCTCATAACGGAGACGAAACCAATCAAAATCAAAATCACTGACCGAGGAAAACGGTCTAAACAATCTTGGATGGTTCTAGGAAAACGTTAATCTCAGTATGTGGAAAATGCAATTAGATTACCCTGACTCTATGGATAACGTGCATGCCATGTGTTGTAGTCAGATTTCATAAGGGACTCGTAGGCGGATCTGTCTTACATGTTAAAAGGACATACATGTTCAATAAGAAAAGAATATGGTAGGTTGACCAAGTCACAGAAACTCGACAAGGAAATAACGATTGTTTCGTTACAGGCAATAATTGACCCCCTCCCCCAAAAAATCAGAAACTCAAACGTAAAGAAAGTTTTCTTTTAATATATGGTTCGTAATTTTATGAACAATTTTGGTCATGGTGATTAAAAGAAACAGGTTTATTTTTCCAAGAAAACAAATTTTATTGCTTGGCCTCTGAATCTTTCGCACAATAAGATCTGTGCCCAAATCAATTTAATTTCGGAAAATACAATTTCGCGTGGTTCAAACTCTGGCACTTCTACATATTTTCTATTCGCGTCTACATTAAGTTAATGATGTACGAGAAAATTGCATGGAATTTGAAAAAAAAATGCCGCCAGTTAATTTTTTCTGCCCCATGCACATGTTTAATCCAGCCGGGCCTCTGACATCTCATCAGGGTTGATATCTATAAACTTNCATTATACATTTACGCAATGGTTTCAAAACAAATTATCTTTATACACCCAAAGTAAAAAAAAAAACAAAAAAAAAAAACGAGTAATGTCTATTTAAAGCGCCTTTTCGTATCATTTTAGCGCAAGCGTACAAAGAATGCACATCCAATGGCACGTGGTGGAGACGTCCCGACACTGGCGCCGTCTTTACTAAGTATTTCAACTGCATGGACGAGGAAAAGATGACGGTAGGCATGCATGTCCAGCCTTATATGTTAAATGTATTTAGGCTTAAAGATATACACGCAATAATAACAACAGCAACAACAACAACGAAATTAATAATAATAATAATAATAATAATAATAATAATAATAATAATGATAATAAATAAGTAAATAAATAAATAAAAGTCCCCAGAGAGCTCAGAAGATAGAAGCAGTCGAAACTTGAGAAATGCCACGATTTACTAATTATAGGTACACATGATAATCCGTACCACCATCAAAACTTATCACATGTTCCGCCGCCCATATCTGGGCTATCCCATAAATTTCATCAAAACCTGTCCGCAACTTACTTTTTTTGTACTTTTAACAAATGTTGCCAACAAACCTACGGAATCAAATTATTACCTGTTTGACGGGGGAAATAGATGATGGTACCATTGCGCAACAATTCAATTGAATGAAACATTTAAGGCGGCAGTATGCCAACCAAAATGCTGAAAATCAATAAGATAACGGATATGTTTCTTTCGCGTTCAACGTGTACTTTCGCAAAAACATAGTTTCCTTAGATTTTTTCGCATTTACACACATCAACCAGGGCGGATCCAGATATATTTTGATAGTCTTCCAAATTATCTTTATTGATCCATCCTCTACTTTTGACCGTCTTCAAACAGAAAAAAATTAGATTCCCGTCAATGTAAACTTGAAAATATGACCGTCTTCTGAAATCTACTTGTCCATGATCTGAATCTTCGTCAGGTTTAATGTATACTTCGTTTATTTGATTTTTGGATGCGGCTTCCACGCTAATTTACGAAAAAATTGAATTTCCGCCAGGTTCACACTGATTTTGGGAAATGAAAATGTCATACAATATATTTTGCATTTGTAGATTTTTTATAGTCGTTTAGTTATCGCACGCATAAAAACGCACTCACAAAATACACACAAACACACGACATGTGCAGGCACGCGGACACGCGCACACACATTATATTGGCAAGGCCTTCCGTATGACGTGTAACGTATAGTTCAATACGTAATACGTTTTACGTACGCGAGAAAGCTAGCAGTGGTTTTGGCAGGTCTCACTCCGTATGTGTTTTTTTATAGGCCTATATATATGGATTACACGAACATGGGGCTGCTTGTGGATTCTTTTTAGATAGATGAATAATGGAAGATGTTGAATGGAATGTGTTATTTACGTCAATTGATGCTGCAGATCCTGTTGTTTATGAAAAAAAAAATCTTAAATTGAATTTGATACTACTACGGACGACTGATTGACTGGCTGTTTTTCCAGCTGTTTTCACAGAGCATTTCTACCGACAGCGTCTAAAAGTGATTCAGTGGAATCTTAACACCCTATATATTCCTCTGCAGTATGTTAAACTTGAAAGAAATAAGCGTAAATCTATTAAATTCGATACGTTTCTTACCTACGTGTAATCACCGATTCACACGTAGTGCCGTATGACTTATGACTTGTCCTTGAGAAAAACTACGCACAAAGTGATGACGTCGCACGTTATACGTCGTACGGAAGGCCTTGCCAAAACTCTCTAATACATCCTCCCTTAACGCACACAAACACGTATGCACGCGTATGTACTCGTTATTCAGCTTACCCTTACTTTTGCCTCTGAATAAAATAGCCCTACTTATTCATTGGTAAGCCAAGACAAAACACTCACACGCCGCTGATGATACAATCATGTAATTACTTAACACAATAAAAGTATGTAGTTAAATAATCATTTCACAATCACAAAACTGAATTTAACGAAATGATGTTTAGTGCATAGCGACGGCCTGCCCGGTATTGATGTTTCAGTAGTCAAACGATTTTCACAACGGATGCGCGACGGTTGGTCGAGGTTCTTCTGGTAGAAAACAAATTTGCCACCCTGGGTTTATGTATACACTTTAAAAAGCACGTTCAGTATAAAAACAAATATTCAGGCATTGGCACATATCTCCAGTAATTGCATTCACCCTGTCATTTATTTATTTTCAGGAAAACAAGAGTGCAGTGTACGTGTATCTAGCCGGGTATGGTGTATCCACGCTGGCCATACTCATCTCTTTGGTCATTTTCTTTGCTTTCAAGTAAGTATATATATAAGTATATCAACAAAAATTATCATCGTCATCATCGTCAGGGGCGGATCCAGGATTATTTGAAGGGGGGGGGGGGGTCCGGAATGACATGCATCGGATGCAAAGCTGACCATCGCCCCCTTGGTGTGGGGTTCGAGTCCTGCTCAACGACGCCGAACTTTTTTGGGTTTTTGGGTAGCGAACAGTGCCCTTTGGAACGGTTTAGAACTATGATTTAGCTAGCCAAAATTCTAATTTCAAGAGGGGAACATTGGTGTGATATAATTTTTCGGAAACCGAAGGGGGGTCAGCCCCCCCCCCCCCCCCCCCCCCCCCCCCCCCCCCCCCCCCCCCCC